AATTTATTCCTAAGGGACTTCTCCCGGAATTGCCTCCTTCTAAGCACTATAACTTTCTTTCATTTCTATAAACAGAAAATTACATGTTTTGACAACAGTCAAGGTAGATTTTCCATTCTTTTAAATTATTAATTAGAGTGCGTTTGGTAAAACTGTGCGGTTCTCTTGCAGCCCTTCCTTTTTCTCCTCCCCATTCCACTGGAAAAAAACGCGCGTTTTGAACCCTGTAAATATGATGTGAAATGTAAGTAAATATACCGTAAATGAAATTTACAGAATTATGGACACATAGATGTTATTTACATATAATTTACAGGGGTTGTACAAAGTTTGTAAAAAAGTGTGTAAATTCGATTTACGGGATACAGTAAATTTACGGAGTATTTAAAGACAGTGTAAATATACTGGAAATGCAGATACCGGATATTTACGGCAAATTTACACGTTTTTTACAAACTCTGTGTATTTACTGTATATATTTACAGCAAATTTACAGAGTTTTAACACTATATTTTAAGAATATGAAACCCTGTAAATATCGCGTAAATCTGAATTTAAAGGTCATTTACAGAATTTTGGACAAACACCGGATATCTACATACTTTGTAAATATCCCGTAAATCAAATTTACATCGTTTTCCCAGGGTTTTTACAGGGTTCCCGGCGCGCGATTTTTTCCAGTGTTCTCCGCTCGGCCCTAGCCAATTCGTTTAGGGACGCTACGCAGGAGCTATGAAAAAAAAGGAATGCCGTCTCAATAGAAGCCGTGAAAACTATGAAATGCCGGCCGGCCGATGTCGAGAAAATACCAATGTGAAGCCACYAAGAACATACATGTGAACCTCTTCAAGGTAAATTTTTGCCACTGCGTTCAATAACTTTATGTCTTTCTTACGCTTATTTTTAGATATTTCAAATGCTTCTACGCCCCTCACGTCAAAGGAAACTGTCAACAGCTGTTCGCTTTAAAGTCCGGAAAACATAGCAGAATGTACGCAATGCATTGTTGGATATGTTTGTATCAGAACAAAGCGGCTTTTTTTCTTTCTCAAGAAGCTAATCCTACAATGAATTGAAAATTAAGTAGTGACGTAAAATGTTCTGAGGTCTATTCGAGATTCGGGTAGGCATAAAGGCGCTAAAATCTCAATCAGACTTAAACGCAAAAGTACAGTCGAACCAAAACATCAACTCGTTAGTTCTAAAAACTGGGTCGGGCTCAACTGCCAGTGGCCGAGATGGATCCATGTTTGTCTATTCGACATCGGAAAGATATGCCAGTTCTCTTATAGGCCGTCCAACTATTGCTTGAAAGGACAAAAAAGGGGAAGTTTTTATCATGCTATCGCGGCGCGCGCTCTTAGGAAAATGCGGGCTACCTGTGGTATTACGTCAATGATCCCTTGCCTCGCATGATCAAAACCTAGTCTGTAACAAGGTTTGAAACACTGCTCACGTGATGGACCGATGTGTGCACCAGAAAGCTGGGCACAAATCGGAACCCGAGGGGGAAACAAATAGTCGAAGAGCTAGTACCGGAATGTAAGGTAGAGAAAATCGTTTGTCTTCGTCATTCAGCACAGAGGCATCCATGAACCAGAATCAAACAGTTTGAGGTTATTTTTTTTTTTGAGCTTCGAGCTGTTTTCTCCAAACTTATCTTTCATTTTCTTTTCCTTATGATCCTTGTGGAATCATTCTTCGACAAAATGAAATGCGAGGTGAACTTCTCGGCGATTACGAAAATACTCCGTGAAAGTCTCAATGGTTCAAGATAGTTGTCGACCAGCTCACGAGTTAGAAAGTCCGAACGCTTTCCAATGTGTGCCCAGCTGCCTGAAGCACACATCGGTCCACGGCGAGTAAAATGCTTAATGTTAATATTCTCGTCGTATACTGAACATTTCGCAGTTAAAATCATGAGGTAGTTAGGAAATCCGGCGATGTGTTGCTATTTGAAAGAAAATCGTCGTTTTCAAGAAAAATAAGAGCAAAATTATAAGTGCCACGTGACCAGTGTTTCAAAACCTTGCCTAAGACAAGGTTTTGATCCCGTGAGGCAAGGGATCATTGACGTAGTCCCACCGGTAACCTACCTTTTCCTAAGAGCGCGCGCGGGTGCGATTACATAATAAAAGCGTGCGAGATCGTTCTTTTATTTCTCTCATGGAATAGTTGGGCGGCCTATGGTTCTCCCAAGGGATTGCCAAAAAATTAAAGTCGATTCACTTAAAGAACCAAAAACCAAGATCYTAACTCATAATTACACATAGATACACAGATACCGAACATTAGATTAGCCAATCAACGGYCGTCTGCGTGAATGACGTCATCGAATATATTTTGTAGAATAAATTCAAGATGGCGGTCGAGTAGGTGCTGGATGTGTATGAAAAACTTTGAAAAAGAGACGCTCGTCCACAATCTTAGTTTAGATAACTGTGTTTGCTCCAAATGCTGAATCAATATAAAAAAACAAAGCCGTGGGCTTAAATATATTGGCTTTTTATCAAGCCTTTTACAAGCTTAAAATCTCGAGAGTTATAGAACGTCGCGGCCAGCATAGAGACCTCCAAAGATCGATGCAGAAATACCTCGACAGTCACGCTGAGATTTTTTTTAAGGTAAAAAAAAATGAGAGAAATGAAAGTACACGTTGAGGGAACCAAGGTTCAAATTACCCTTTCAAAATTTCGACATAACAGAATAAATTACTCACCATTAGCCATAGGCACGTCCATTCATCACAAATATTGGCTTGGACATACCTCAACTCATTCTCTCTCATGTAGTATGCTTTAATTTCTCGTAAACWTCCTCCAAGCATATCAAAATCTTTAATTCCTAAGCTCTTTGCTCGGAATCGGTAAACACAAAACGATGACGTCATGTCGTTGATATGGTTTCCTAATTTGGAMTTATTCCGAATTATAGCGTTGGAATTGTAGCGTTGAGAGTTAATCTACTTCGGGTCGCACCTAATTTTGGAGAACGTGAGGAAAAACCCCTAGTTTGCGAGGGCTTAGGTAGAAGCTCCGTTCGACTTTGGCAGGCATTAATTATTCGGGAGAGGAAAAAAGCGAAGGAAATACATTTACAAGAAATTAGTATATTGATTTATTGCATCTCCACCAAGATTTGTCAGTTGTTCATAGTTTTGAATACATGAAGCACCGTTTGTTGCTATTCAAAATGTCGTTGTCTGCTTTTAATGGCATAATGAGCGTGATACTACGATTTAAAGTTCTGGTTTGCTCTGTCTTAGCCTTAAAACCATGCAAGCACCATATCCTTTTGTTTCAATTGATTTAAGGTAGTCGCACCGGCTATTTTTAGGTCGTTTTTTAAGTAATTTTAAAGCATAAATTGAAAGTACTATATCACAGGAAGTGCGTAGCAAATTTTTGCGAAGGAATATGTTTTCTATCCTACGCTTTTCTTTGCTCAAAGATCGAACATTTTACAGGAACCGGAACCAATTTTACAGCTAGCGTCAAGCTGTGTTACTAGGTAAATCTGAAATTTGAAGCGTACGGAAGTCAGAAATTGACCGCGTGTTTTCACACCTTGGTTACATTCCTCTGTAAACCGAACATGGATTCTTTATGTGAGAACGCTTTGCTCGTTTTTAACAACGAATTTACTAAAGCTGGGTAAGTACATGCGTAAATTCTTTTTTCGTAATCGTACAGTTTTATATTGGTTTTGATATGTGTATTTTTCAATATAATTAGACTCGGAAATGCGCCCGAAGGATTGCTTGGTCTCCTCAAGAATTATAGACGTAGACCGAGTGAATCTGCAGATGCCTGCCGAAAACGCATGTACAAGCGCCTCTTCGGCATTCTTTGGGTAAGCATTATAATAGTTCTTTGTTTTGAAAAAAAATATATGTTATTTCACTGCGGCACTTTATGTTATAATGCGTTATCTTACGAAGTGAGTAGCCATGAAATATCGGCGTGATCCGCCATTGTCAATTAGGGCCGAAGAAAGTCAAAATTAATTTATAAGGCTAATCTAAATCGTAGAATTACTGCAACAGGTTACATTTTTGGGGTGAAAATACATTGTTGCTTAGTTCCGTAATAACTGACTGGCCTATGTTAGCAAATTATAAAGTAAAAATTATTGCTTTTCTCATTTAGCTTTATTGATTTCTTTATGATTGATCTGCTAGTTTGGTAACAGCATCGGGCGAAGCTCTATGTCAGGGAGGCAAAATCCAACCTACGTCTATCCGATTGAGCTAAAAGAAGTAATACGAGGTATTATACAGGGGGAACTTGGAGACTATGCCGACACTAAAAGTGCACGAGTAAGTATTTTCTAATTATTTCTTTTATTGCAAGACGCTAAAGAACAACAATATCAGAGAAACATAATCTGAATGTGATTGATGTTGTCTGGACCAACCATCAAGCTATTTTTGACAACTTATAATGTATGAGCAATTGTCTTTCAGGTGTACAAAGTGACACTAGAAGATTTGCATACTGCAAAGTGGCCAGTTGTAAAGAGGGGCAACAATTGATTTCATAATCAACTATTTTCTTCATGTATTTTATTTCGTTTATAATCAATCCAATATGGTTTATGTATCATACTATATAACAAACTTTTGAATTGAGAAATTTTGTTGAAATGATATGCTTCTATGTGCAATACAAACCAAGAATAAATATTGTTTATCCTTTCAGTCTGTATTGTTTTGTTTATTTTGTTATGCAGCCAGTCTTATAAAGATTATCCATTCAATGAAGGACATTTTTCATTATATTTTGTATCAGAAATGTCCTTACAACCTTCACAAGATAGGCCTACATAACCTAACATTGAATAATAAGACAGATTTCTCTCCTTTTTTAGAGAATGACATATGATATATTATTTAAAAAAATTGAAATTAGAGAAAAGCACACTAATAAATACTTTATGAGAAATTTGTATATCTAAATAACTAAGCCCTAACATAGCTGTCGTCATCATCAGAACCTCCCTTAATCATCATCACTGAAAACGTCCTCACTATTATCACCACCATCATAATCTTTCTCACTGTCATCACTATCAACAGAGACTTCTTCACTGTCATCACTATCAACAGAGACTTCTTCAATATCATCACTATCAACAGAATCATTCTCACCATCATCAACAGAATCATTATCACCATCATCACCATCATCAGAACCATCATCTCGATTAGAAACAACCTTGCCAGCTTTATTTCTCTTATTCTGTGGGCAAGAGTGGTGACTTGTACGCTGGTGGCTCTGTGATCCACATCTACATCTCCTACCACTTACGATTGAACTTCCATTCCCCGAAACAACTCGTTCAGCAGCCAGCAAAACTTCACTTTCAACTTCCCCTGTTTGACTGTCATCATTATCATCATCATCACTTCCATAAGTGTGAGTGAGAGCCAGGCGTTTTGTCCACCGTCTTCTTTCTTCTTGATCTTCTCTTCTGGCTACTTTCTGTGAAATTCTCTTCTTCTTCCCTTCTTCAGACTGTTTCCTTCTCAGGGCCTTTATCCTTTCAGTCGAAGCTTTCCTCAATGCGGTCAAAACAGCAGTGGTGATTGGCAACCTAAGTCTCCTGTACAACTCAGTGACCCAGTGAAAATCATCTCCACGCTTCTCAGAGCACCACGTCATGTTCCCTTGCAACAAACCACAATTTGTAGATGTCATGTAGTGCAGTCTGCGAAAGCAAATCATAAAGAAATATGTAGTACATTTTTTCTGTAAAAACTTTTATATTTGATCTAATGCCCAAGTTACAGAGCTAAGTACAGGCATTATATGTGTGTATCACTTCCAGTATTTTCTTCTAAATGGCACAAGATAAACAACAAAATAAAATGATGTAATTAGCTTAATTTAGTGACTCTTTGTAAGAGTTAGTTACCGAGAACGGAGGCATTACGCTATATACAGCCCGAGGGCCGCAGGCCCGAGGGCTGTATATAGCGTAATGCCGACGTGCGAGGTAACTAACAAACTTAGTTTTCAATTCACGTGGTTTTCGCAAAAACTGAATAGACTTAATGAATGTTTTCTTAGTTGGGTTTCGAACAATAGAATCCTCTTCTCTTGAGACTTTTTCATGGACTGTTGAAATTAGTTTCCTTTAAGAAAACCTGTTCATGCGAAAGCGAGCAATCGAAATTTGAATATTGTTATCAAATATTCTTAGCAGTCATTCTGGAAACGATGTCGAACAGTGACGATTTGTTTATAGCTCAAAATACGTTTGACATTATTCCTTTGACGAACTTTGATATTGACGATTTGCTATCGGATTTGGAACTCCGCATGCTTCTTCCCGCAAATAACGTACGATGACAAAGTCTGCAGATGGGAAAAAATGAGAAAAATTACAATAGTTTTTGATGTTGAACTCGCTTGAAAAAATACGAGGGAAGGATTCAAGAAGGAACAAACTAAAGTACCAATAAATGGCCGTGTGCACGTGCTTGGATAGAATGGACCAAGTCACACCGATTACTTCTGATTCATACACGTTGGTTAATTACGAAGAATAGATTCTTTTAAAAGTAACGGCGAAGATCTTGGTTATTGTTGTCTCTATTCTCTGATGAACATATGAAGAAAACTGAAGCTGCTGGACTCGAACTTATTACACTCTAAATCTCCTCAAGTTTTGCTGGCCGCACTGGTCTTTTTTAGGGGAAAAATAGTTTAGTTTACTTAGTTTATTTGATGTTCAGCAGGGAAATGTGGGGTTGATGAATTGAATTGAATAACTCGTTATAAATTCAGCGGGCTATATGAGTGATTCCGGTCACTCATATATAGCCCGCTGAATACACCTTGATACCTGTCCAGCAGGAAATTTTTTGATTTTTGCTGCCTCCTTTAAATTGTTGGCATGAGCTCGGCCAACGTGCCCACCACATTTGAACACTCTTTGAGGTTCAACACCATAAACTGCTTCAACTGAAGATTTGGAGCTGGAATCTGCATCTTGCCACACAACAGCAACATTACACTCTTCATCTTTGCATTGCTGATAGCATTCTTCTGCAAGGATCCCTTCCATTGATTTGGCTGTCCCCTTAAAAAGCTTCTCCTTCTCTTTTCCTCGCATACATTTGTGGCCAAACCATAGCAACGCACCAGTCAGGTAATTCTTAATGATGAAGGAGCCATTTTTGCTAAAATGGCCCCTTGTATGCCACACTCCATCTGATGTGACTACAGCCCTCTTCCAACTGCCAAGAACTGTATCATCTTTCTTCTTCATGTCAGACTTTGCCTCTTCACACATTTCGTTTAAAATGTCTGTCACATGTGGGTAAAGGAGGCTTATGACCTCATAGTATCTGTTCTTTGATATTGCTGGTATGCCTAAGAATTGGTTGAGGGTCTTGTTAAATTTTGCAAAACCATGGCCAGATATGATGAAGGCTACAGCAAGGGATAATCCTACCACTGTCCTCCGTGAGCCCTCTACCATAGATGAACCTTGAAATGTCACATTTCTATGACTACAGCCAGTACAAATAAATGTTATATTTATTGTACCTCCAAGGCCAATTGTTTCGATGCTAGATGGAACAAGGACACCTAAAAGGAAAAAAAATATAATATATAAATATAAATTAATGGCATATTCTTCAAGCATTTCCACTTATTGTCTAGTTAGATGTCATTTTCATTTCACTCATTTTAAAGCAGCCAATAAATACATGTAAATTCCTGGTTGACAACTGTCCACGTTATGCTCATACTACTCCTTGATTATTGTGAGCACTTCCTTTACCAGGTAATAATCTCAGCCATTGGCTTAGTTTATTACCAGCAATATTTCAAACTATAATTCATGCATGTACATGTAGCAGATGTATTAATGGCCATGTGCAAGCGAAGAATTGTGATTACTCTTTGAACCAATTGTCATAGGCAAATACTACCTAATAAAAATTAACTTCTAAAATGTACATTTATCACAAAGTATTTCACTTAAAACTAGGGATGTTTGATGAAATTTTAGCATAACATTTATTCAAACCACACATAAATACAAATAAAAAAAGTTTGATGAATCTATTCATATCTTACCATTGCAATCCTTAGTACAACATCGTGATGTCTTGTTAACACTATCAACAAAGGTTACAATCTGTGAAGACTCGCAGACAAATAGCTGTTGCTCTACAGCTTGAGAAGATGACTTTTTACTTGTCGAGCTCGTTACTTTGACTTTCTTCGGACTTGGTTCGAATTCCGACTGCTCAGATGCACTTGAATCGAGTACACAGTCCGTTCTTCCTCTTTTAAGTATAGTTTTCTTAACTTTTTTAAGTGAATAGTAGCTTGTCTTGCCCGGAGAGGAAAACTTTACTTTGCTACCTGACGAGTAATTTGTTGTTTTCGAGCTCCAATTCTTGGGCAGCACAAACTCTTGTCTTGAAGAAGTACCAGTGCCCCTTGCTTCTGCTCCAGCCTTTCCTTTGTTTATAAGGATCTTTTTTCTTTCTTTCTTTGAAAGTAGTTTTTTTCTTTTTGCGTCCCATTTGGGAGTTATCATAAGTAAAACGAAGAGAAGTATTCAAGTTTATCAAGATGGCGAACGCTGTATGTGATATGAGTTTGCATGCGCATGCTCAATACTGAAACGGAAGTGACTTGGTAAAATCACGCCTCTTGATACGCGCTTGACCTAGCAACGAGAATAACAAACCACAATCTACCCCAGACGTATCGTCCTGTGTGTACCCTAGAAGGTAGCTATTTGTTACAAAATGGCGGGCAAAGATGGACGATTACGAACCCAATTCGTTTTGAGTGATTCTCCAAAGAAATGCGAGCTGATGAAGAAAAGTAATCGACCCTACATGCTCACCAACACTTTGAATACGTTTTACTGAATGAGTATTCCAAATTTTGCCACGAAATTTGGTACAATTCTTTAAAATATTAGGTTCTGGTAACGTGTGTTTGTGAACTAAAATATTTTACATTTGCGTCAAGCTATCCATTGATTTTCAACAATCTGACATATCTTAAAAATTGTAAAGCTTAGAATAGTTCTCAAGCACAGGTTTGTAGATCTCAACGTGCTCTTTCAGAATATGCCTTTATATTGATGAAATAGTTTTTAGTTTGCGCATAAAACACGAAAAACGTGAAAAACAAGTCGGGGGGGTTATCGCTCTAATCCAATTAATAAAAGGTATCAGATTACAAAACTATGCAAGAATTGTTGTCGAATGAATATACTAACATCATGGAAAGTTTGAGTTTGAAACGCTGTTTGGTTAACAAGAACACAAGCCTTAAATTTTGCTAAAAATAGCCGGTGCGACTACCTTAAGCATTAAACGATAGCTTGAAGCGGTTTACTGGCGAAATAAACCGCGCGGGATGGTTGGGAGAAAACGAGAAAAGATCAGTAAATCACGAGATGTCAGGCAAGTGATTTACCTTTTCGAGTGTTCTCCCAACCATCCCAAGCGGTTTATTTCGCCAGTAAACCGCTTCAAGCTATCGTTTATTGCTTTAATATYATAGCAGAAAATAACAGAAAGAAAAAAAGGCATATTTGGTTTCGTTTTCATTTAATTGTCTGATGAATATGTAGTTTCTCATTACATCATAATAACCAATCAGATAGCTTGTTGTATGTCATTCTTGTTGGCAAATTTGATCAAAGTTAACGTAAAAGTTCATTGAAATAAGTTTTTTTCAAAGAGAAAAAATTTGTTTTTTAAGGCAAGTGGGCATTAGAAGACCGAGTTTATTTGTTGAAGGAGATGTGAACGAGCGGTCAGCGGTCGTCAGCAATGGCGGCCATAAAATTCATGGAAGCGATCTTTATCGCTCTTTCTGCTCTACTACTACGTACTAGGACCCAGAAAACCTACACTATTTATCAAGAAACCCGTAACAGTACTGCTGGTTATGTTTTCCATAATATTTCCAGCCCAATCTTCGTGCAAGACAGCGCTTTTATCGATCTACTTCGTCAAACGAAATCCAACATGGCCGACCAACTTGACCACAAGCTCAACTGGGCTCTACTCCTTCTCTGTGGAGACATCTCGACAAATCCTGAAATACACCAGTCCTGAAATACACCATCTCAGTGGAAGTACAGCCTCCTGGTTCTGCCTTCGCTGTGACTGTCCAAACTACTCCACTTTGCTCTCCTACCACACCATAAACACATCAAATTCGTTTTCTCAGCTAAGTGACAGTACCCTTTCAACAGCACACAGCCCTGGGAAACCCTTGGCCTCATCATCCCCCAAGAGACAGCAAAATCAAAATCACCAT